ACTGCTTGCTCTGTCCTGAGAGGTGGGACTCCTCATGGATACCACAGATCTAAGAAAAACAAACGTGCAATGCCCATTGCCTCTCCTGACTGCTTTAAAACAGTTCCTCCAGTTCTACCCAGAAGGGTCCTCACATCCCATTTAAAACAACTCTTATGTGTCTTTACAGTAGATAATTCTTCTCGTTTAAAGAGGGAAGTAAATTAAACTCTGAACCCTAATCCCATTAATAGCCCCGCCTGACACTATAAATCACTGACGCAGCATTTCGTTCATGCCCATAAATTACTGACACCATGCCCTCCTGCACAAGATTCCTTCTCCTTAAAAGCATATTAATATATGTTTGCACCCAGTCTCCTTTTTAAATACACTGGCTCACACTGTCAGCTTTCCTATTGCTCTAGGCACCAATTTCAAATTTCATAATCAATGATATCATTTTCTTTCATGGCAGTAATTTGATTACTGCTCTTGGGTGTGACAGGCATTTGTGACCATTTCTTCCTGTCTTCATCTGAAATTCCTAATCTTCCTTCCTTCCCTCCTCCCTGCAAAACCTGTGCAAAATTGATAAAACAGCATCAATAAATCAAGGCTCTTGCATTTTCCCTGAAGTGACTGTATTCCAGATTTCCTCTCTGAAACACAAACAAGGACATAGTTCATCTAGTTCAACAGCATGACCAAAAGGGGTATAAAATGATGATGATGTTTTGTGGCAGTTATTGTCAGTTTAGTTAATGTGACTGACTGCTTTTCCTGTGCAAGCTGTCTCTTCTAGATTACCCTATCTTTGAAATAATCACCACTACCACCTAACATTTAGTAATAATTTACTCCGCAGCAATTGGTATGACAGAGTCCACATCAGCTGAAGCAAAATTGCAACATTCAAGGAAAAAAAATAATTAATTCACATTTGTTTCTGACGAGTTCACAGTCCCTGTTGACCAACCTGTACACTGCACTGTTGAAGTACAGTACATTTAGAATTTTTCATAAACAGCATCAAAGGAATAGAGTTCAAACTAAAGTTGCCAATTTCTCCCCACTAATTTCAGAAGTTTTAATGACAGCGAGAAAGGGAGAAAGAAATCTGTGTGTTAATCAAGTTCTAAAACAAGCTGCAGAAAGATGCCTGCCCATCCCTGAATCTGGCTGATTTCATCAACCACACAATTCTTAAGGACACTTAAAACCACTTCCATTTCCACAAACTGAGGAGAGACTGAGAGTGGAATGCAGCTGATAGTGCCGACTGTGTTTTCTTGCAGGGAAAGTGGGGTTTTTTTCAAGGTAAAAGAACTGATTTCTCTCTTCCTCTACCCCCCATTAATACAAAGCCTTCCTGAGGCAGGCTGGGGATTATACACACATTCTCTTAGCCAGGGCTGAGTAAAACAGAACTTCTTTGATTTTTCCCCCCTCACCCGTAGTGTTTGGGTGAGCTAAAATACTGTACATGTAATACACAGATTTAGACTATGGAAACTTAGTACAGGTGACCTTATTCAAAAGACAGATTTCTATGAAACAGATAATTCAGGTTTTTTTCTCCTAACTGCTTTTTAAAATTACCTGATTCAAGATATTTAAAAGTAACTTGTGACCTCAGATTCCATAAAATATTCTGTTCTCCCTTGAGGTATCTTAGAGCAATTCAATTATTTTCTGTTGGGCAACCACACTGACATAAGAATTTCCATTAAAGTTTTATCTGTAAACATGATGCGATGGTGCTAATTTACAACTGCACAGGAGAAAAGTCCATAACAGAGACAAAAGTAAATGCACCACACAAGCAAAATAATTTTCAGCTTTCAGGTCCTGGATTAGGGCAAAAACAATTGTCCAAATTGTCATATTTAATCAGCATTAATTATTTAGCCTATGGGAGAAAAATATGTCAAGAGCTTGTTAGGTTGATGAAACCATTAACATGAGGAACCTCCCATAAGTCAGATGCAGTTTTTTACTCAGAAGAGTTGTTAATCTTTTCCAGGAGTTAAAGCCCAAATGCTCATACATGAATTTTGAAAAGGCTGAAGCAGCAGAACATAACTGAACCAAAACTTTTCTTTGAAAAGAGCAATGCACATTCCCGGAATGAGTAATTCCTTCTGGTCTGTTCTATTAATTCCTTCTTCTTGACATTCTTATTTCTATCATAAATTAGTTGCAATTTTCTTTTCCCACAAGATGAAACCTGTGCTAGCAGACAAGTTCGTATTCACTGTGAATTACTGAAGCATCCATGTAACTTTTTTTCTTGCAGATTATTTTCACAGAAATTCTTTTTAAGCAAGGTAGAAGCACCTATTTTACAATACCATTTGTTTTGCTCTTTTAGGTTCTACTTACTGAGCTAATAAAGACACTCATCAATTAAACATAAAAAATTATTTTAAATTTATCATTCTGATTTCAAGCTACATATATGAAGCTTACATGTTGTTTTTGCTCCCAGGTGGAGCTGAAAAGAAGCAGCAGAGCTGACCAACTAAGCTGCTCAGAGGAACTCTTGCAGAAAAGTGGCATCACATTTTCCTGCTCTTCAAACCCCGTCTGTTTGTTCAGGATCCCTTTCAGACTGAAAAGATATTACCATTTTTCCTAAGGCCAACGTGTGAGGAATTAAAAAATAAAATAAGAAAATTATATCTCAAACAGTGGTTGGATTGAAACTACTGCAAAAATCTATATCCTCACATCCCTATTTGCCAGCGTCACAGTTTGTGGAACAGAGAACAATTCAGTATTTCAAAGGAAGCCAATAACCATCATGAGAGCTCCCATGGGTGACGTTACTTAATCTGCAGTTTCATCTTCCAGAGGAAAAAGGAGCCTACGAGGAAAAACTATTTCCATAAACAAGGGTCTTAAAAGCCGAAGAGAAAAAAAGATTTTGGGTAAGTTTCAAAATTCTGGCATTTCTGTCTAACAATCCTGGTCATGCCCTACCTCCCCTCAAAGCTGGGGAATAATTTAAAGCCAATGAAAGCTCAAGACTTTGGGAAATGCAGGTCTTGGGGAGCACTATATCAAAAGGGGCCAACAGGAAGAAGGAATTTCTTTATTTCTGTATCAGACTCCCTGTGGCTCTATCAGTAACACTTTACACCTTCCACAGCACGTGCCTCACAACACACCTCACATGAGCAACTCCATCCCTGCCAGAACAAATGGTAAAGCAGTTTGTTACTCCTCATCCTCCTCTTTGATCATTTCAAAGCTTTGAACAATAACAGACTGCTGAGGAGAGAGCTACCAGCACCGACAGGGAGAGAGGATCTGCTACAGCTGATACACAGCACACAGAGACAGCGTGCAAGGGATCTCCAAGGGAGGAAAAGCAGAAGGAATTGCAGGCACTTCATCCTACAAGGATCAACAAATCCCACAGACAGACTGCAATTGCATGAAATTGTTCTGCAAAAGGAAATATGAGAGGAACAGAAGTTACCTGACATTTCATAGTTCTCATTGAAATGCAGCCTACATTTTTAGGAGACTGAAGAAAAAGGGCACTATTTATGTTTATTTGGAGGACATAGGGAAAGCAAGAAGGGAAGGGAGGAAAATTCTCTTCTGCCAGTTTTGAGACCAGGCAAGTGGCTTAGCTAAATAAACAAGGTCTTCAAAAGTATACTGATAACATTTTAAAACTATAAGCAAAATCTGCATTCCACTGGCAAAGCTGTAAAACTTGCCTGGAGATTACACACGTGCTCTAATCACACTGGCTCCTCTGAGCTGACCCATAAAAGCCACAGCGATTACTGACAGAAGCGCCAAAAATTTCTGACTCGCTTTTTGGGGGAACAAGCCATGGATTTGTACTTGGAAGCTCTTCCAAAACTGTTAAGAGTCATGTAGAATAAACAGCCTTTTGCTCAGCTGCCAACATACCAGCCCAAAAGCTCGACGAGGTGACTTCAGACAGAAACAAAAAGCCTCTGTGCTCCTACCTACTACAGCTTGCACTAAATTCCCCTCTCTGACACACAGGAGCTCGGTGCCAGGGAACAACAATGAACTCACAGGCCACAGGCTCACATCTGCTGCTTGCCTTTGAAATCCTTCCTCGCTTTTACAGACTTAAATTGCAAAGGATGCCAGAGCCCAGGGCCACCTGGAGGACCCCACTGACCATTCTGTGGCCACACAGACCAGCCTGGAGACCTTCACTGCTCAACAGCTTCAAGTTTTAAAGTGCTGCTTCCCATACATGGTTCCATTGCCAATTCAAGACCTGAGTCTCCAAAAATCTCTTGCTGGTGGCCATCTGCTGGGATTAGAAGGTTCAAGGTGACTCCAAATGTTAATAAGGAAAATAGGATGACAGGTCATACCACAACCCACAAACACAGAATCACATGAACCACAGAACAGTCTGGGTTGGAAGATACCATAAAGATCATCACACCCTAGCATGGCAGGGAAACCTTCTGCTAGACCAGGTTGCTCAAAGCCCCATCCAGCCTGGCCTTGAACACTTCCTGGGTTGGGATAACACACTGCTTTTCTGACCGGAAAGGAGATTAAATACAAAATTATCTCCTGTGTAAACGTGTCCAGCACTTTCTGGCAGAAAACGTGTTTCAGCCTTGGTCATTGCTTCACCAAACCAAGCACCAGCCTTTAGAGCTGAGAGCTCATCCTTACTCACAAACTGCTCAGGAGCTCCCTCTGAAATGGAACCATCAGTCGCAAGGTGTCCCCTCTGCACCCAGGTTTCAGGACCAGTAAAACTCAGTAACCAAATGAAACACTGTGAGTGAGCACGAGCAGCCTTTCAGCTGTGACAGGAAACCAGACACAGGGTAATTCTTGTCTTTATTCACACATCATAGACTGACTGCAGTCATTTCAAACACTTGCCTTTTTTTCTCTGCAATGCATACCATATCATTACCCCCCCGAGAGGCCACTTTCCACTTGGCTCTCCTGCCTCCTTTCTCCTGCTTTGTTGTATAAAGTTATATGGAAAATAATACCTAAGCGGCTCCGCATCCTGCAGGGAAGTAGCTTAAAACATCACTCAGTCTTTCTGAAAATTTTCATGCCACTGCAAACAAAAAAAAAAAAGTCAGTCATTATACCTCAAACTTGACAGTTTCTTTTGGAGTGAAAACCATAAATTAAGTAAAAAATATTTATTTATTCAAACATATGGGTTTGCTTTCCACCAAAACACTTCTGACAGCTGCAAAGATGACAGTAACCTGTGATACCTGCTCTGCATCACCCTTGTGGCTGTCTTGTTATTTCTGGAAACCCAAAAGGTACCTCCTGAAAAATCAAATCATTCTGTCCTAATTAGAAGCTTCTGAAGACAAACTTCAATTGGGATGTACACTTCCCGCACATTAAACACTAACTCAGAAAGCAGGAAGCCCTTCTCAGCATGTCCTTCAGATGAGAGGTTGCAGACTTAAAAACACCAGGTTTAAAACCCAAGCTGAAAACTCTGCTGTTTAATAATGAAACACAGCAGTTGCATTTCAGCTTCTCGAGCTCTTCTAGTAATAAATAAAATCCTGAGTGCAGCAAGAAAGGTTTTGAGAAGCTTCCTCACAGTCACTAAGTTTTACAGGACAGGAATTTGTCCTCTCAATGCAAACGTGGGGATGATAAACTCTTTCTCCTCACACACCTGACATAACAGGAGGAGGATATAACTTTATTAAGGCCATCCCAGTCCCTTTCCAGGGATGACACTGTCTTCTAGTGTGGTGATCAACCACACAGTTTGTGAACCATCAGGTCAAAATACCTCAAGTGCCACAGGTTCCCCGTGTTCATCTTTGCTGGTGGAAAACAGGAATATTAACTGGGCTGATTTAGCTTTTCTGCAGCAAACTCTCACTGCTTAAAAGCATCTCACAGTCAAGGTCACTGCAAACAATGCAGGTGCATTACTGCTGGACAAGCAGAAGTGCATGGAGGGGAGGTGAGCACTTCAGATCCTGTTACTCTTCTCTTATCATTTAATGCTGCTCATAATGCTAATCTGATCATTTATTAGGGATGTGAGATAATGTCCATTCGTGCTAGACAAGGCAAGGACTACCAGCAGTCAAAATACTAAATTAAGGACTATTACTAACTTAATTTCCAAAGGCAGTTAGCATTTTCATTTGTGGCAAAAATTTAGTTGCTTGGTACACTTTTCTACAAAAACAGAACTTGTCTGGAGTAGGCTAGGAACTAGATATGACCCCATTTGGGCTCTAAATTACTGATGCAAACATTTCAGGGCAGATATCCAGTGATTCAAGATCAACAATCTGACATTATTTGTGCCTGCATGCTACCAAAAGCCAAAACACACTTTGGGACTTTTTGACAGCATGTGTGGTTTAGGCAGCAAAAGAAATCACTGTGCCCTGAAACCAACAACATTAATAGTTACATCACATAAGCACACAGTTTCTTAGAAACACTTGCACTTTCAATTTTCACCTACTTAAAGGGAAGTGACAAGGCTGTACATCTCACAATCAAAGTACTGGTTCATCACATGGGGACAATTTATTTTTACCTTCTGTACAAGCACTTAATAAGGCAACTCCACCATGTACTTTTATTTAATTAAACATCATCTCCTGGTACCAGAATATAAGAGACCTCTTTAAAATATTCTGTGTTGCTTCTAGCAGCGTGCAGCTGGAGTTATAGAAATTACTGCATCCCCCTGTGCTACTTTCTGACGTGGTATAAGTTGGCATAATTCTGCTGAGTCCTCTTGATTTACACCAAAGGGTGGTTGATCCACATCGTTTCAAGCTTTCTAAATGAGACACAAAATTATCTTTGATGTGCCCCACCTGAGTAACATCTGAGCCGCTTGTCATTGGGGCAGCACATCCCCTCCCAGTCCCCTCTCCCTGCCTGCCAGTCAAGTCCAGCACCAGAGGGGTCCCTTTGGGACCCAGGCCTCGTTTCACAGGAAGCAGTAACTGCTTCATTAAGGGCTTTAATCACTTAAAAATTTCTAGAAGTAGCAAAGGGGGAAAGCATGCAAGTTCCTCTCTGAAATGTAATTAATGTGTGATGTTCTACTCTTGACTACTAGAACTACACAGGTAGAACTCCAAGCTTCAAGGCTCTCCCTGTCCTGATGCCTCAGAGCATTCCAGCTGGAAACTCTGTTGTTTACTCTTTAACTTTTAACTGAGAGGCTCTGAAATATAATCAATGCTCATTTTTGAAACTCTACTATTTTAATTACCATTTTCAGAAACCCTCTATCACATGTTTTATGTACAATCAATGCTGACCCATAAAGGGAAAGCACTCTCACATTTTGGTATACAAGAAGTTTGCTCTTTAAGAAGAAAACAATCAATTACTGATCATCTAAGTGCCTCTGTGTGCATATCTGTTGCTCTTCTGTTATTGTAGATTACACAATTACATCTCAAGAAAGCAAAAATACTATAAAACTCCACTTCTGATTTGTTCAGTATAAGATTTTATTTATGTTGTTACTTAGGGTGGTAGATTTTTATTTTTTTAAACCTACACACAAAGCATTGTTCCCTGTGTAGCAGCTAAGGGGGCCAAAAAATAATTAAATCTTGCAACACCACAATTTGATCAATTTGTTTTGACACTACTTCCTTCTAAATCATTCTTAATATGCTGAGATCTGAATGCATGCTGACACATCAAGATACCATTGTGTGACAGTTGTCATGCATTGAAAGAAACCTCTTCACATACGTACCTCTGGGTTTAATATGTTGCAGCAGATCATGCAATAATAAGCTTGTCATGGCAGATTTTGTATCTGTTACTTTTTATTTCATCTGAGATGGGGGATCAATCTGCATTACAAGTATCAGTGAGAAAATTACTACCTTTAAACACAGAAGAATAATGTTTTCCTCATTAGCACACATAAACAAGAGGCATAAAAAGCCCAGTGATTGACACTGAGAGAGAAGATGTGCCAGGACATCCAGGTTCTTTGCTTTTAGTTCATCAGGGATAGGTTGATAATATGTTAAAGAAAAAGCCTACCTTAAACTTCTATTCAAAACCATTAGCTGAATTAGAAAAAGTAGTGTATTTGTACATAAATTGGTGTTATCAGGCACATCTCAGCCAATCTGCTGAAATCAATAGCATTTACACCTGCCATTCAAAGGAGATGAGCTAACAGGTTTCTATTTGGGACTAAAGACTTAAACATAGCAAGAGTAAGCCCAACTTCTTATTCCCTCTTCAAAGGAAACTGAAACTGTACATCACATGCAGGCACGTGTGTGGCAGCAGGCTAAAGAACAGCCGTGCTGGGGTAACAGCAGGATGCAAATCCCAACATCTGCAAACCACACATTTGCACCAACATGGGCAGCTAAACTCAGAAACAGGAATGATGTGTAAGTACATACAGGCTATGGAACACTAAATTGACCACAAAATTTGCACAAATCTTATTACTTAAAAATATCAGGTCACAAAAGCCAGTGTACTCTCAGAAAGAAGGCACAGTTCATAATAAATACTTCAGTATTTTTTGCAGCCCAAATGACATCCAGCTATGTTTCATTACCCCTTATCCCTATGAAGTCAAGTGCAGCTCAATCAAAGCAGGAGGAATAGTCATTTCTCTTCAGAGGAGAAAAAAAAAGAAGAAAATGTACAAGAGAGCTGAGCAAGCTTCCTCCTTTGTGAAGGAAGAGTGAAGAGAAGGCAGCAATGGGGTCTTGGGCTGCCTGATCAGTCAGGCACCAGCTCCAGCCAGGAAAGGAGCAGAGCACTCCTGGAGCCACAGCAGCCTGGCCTGGCTCTGCAGGAATATTCCACTCTTTACCCTCTCCTCTTGCTCCAGCACTGAACCCTGCATGTTAATCCCAAGAATCCTCTTTATTTAATAAATGCATTAAAGTCTATTGATTTTCAGTGACTATGAAAGGTCAAGTCAAAACAAAGCAGGGACATTTTGCAATGCACAGGGCTGTAAACAGGAAAAAACTTCTAATGAGAGTAAGTGGTTACTGTGCAGATTAGAGACATTTCAGCCAGTCAAATTCATGTCTAATTACATGGATATAAGCAGAGAGGAATTCCACTTGGGCCAAAACTTCAAGCAGTACTCTCTGTGGTCTTATCATGAGTTTTTATTTGCATGCCCAGGAGACAAATTTTCATCTCAAAACCTCAGACATTATTAGTATTTGTTTAAAAGCCAGGAAAGGCTGCTCTAATCTTTCATTGTGACCTCCTGTTCAATACAGACCAGAAGATGGAAGACAAAAGCTTCACGACCCCTCTCACAGTGGAATGGGGATGAAAAGTGATCCCCTTCCATACTCAGGGTATCCCAGGTCAAAACATGCAATGGCAGGGAAATAAGAAGCAAGTATGTGCCTAATTTTTAATATCTGTGATATGAAATCTTTCATACAAGCTGATTTATGGAACAGTCACATTTTCTTTTTCCAAACTTTTTCATTCCACTCAAACCTGCCCACAATGAAAAATGATGCTGTGATTAGAGGCATGCTTAATTACTTTCCAGCAATAAAATTTTATGAACCAAATTTTTACCCTAGTCTGTGTATTTTCTTATTTGTTTTTATATATTCATAAATATGCAAAGCCATTAAGATGATTATTAATTGCAGCAGAATGCAATTAGGTGGCTTTCCACAATAGCAGTCTTTGAAACTGCAATGTGTATTCACTGTTTTTCCAGCACCTGGCTTCAATTATTTAGCCCTTTGAGGATCTCTGTTATCATGATATAATGAATGTTCTACTTAAATAGCATCACTACCTGAAAGAAAGAACACTGATCTATTACTACATTAAGCTCAGCCATGTAGTGAGTTGTGTCATATAACAAAACCTTTACAAAACTGATTGCCTGCAGAGCCTCACACTGTTCACAATGTTAGCAAGTTGCATTCTCTTTTTGGCCACAGAGTTGTCATCCTTTCCTTCCCCCAAATAATTCCTCTTCAGTATCTTCACAGACTTTTGCACTAGCGCTACTTAATATCCAAATTAATATTTTAAAAGGTGCTGA